AAAAAAAAAATTTATTTTACCATAACTTTTAGCTCAATTGGTAAGTTTGACATTGACATAATTAAATAGAAAATTTTATGACAATTAAAAAAATTGTATCGTTAAGATCAATATGCAGTCAGAAAGTTTTATAATTACTATTTATTGTAAATTTATCAAAAAAAACTCATTATTTTTTGCATTTTTATCATAATAGATAACTTAAATAGAAGTAATAGTAATAATTTCCTAGTAACTTTTGTTGTTTGAAAAGAATCTACAATTGAAATATTGAGAACTTAATTAATTTTAATGATTTACTTTAACTAAATGTACCAATCAAAACAAAGTTGTTAAAAAGATTTACTCAATTGAGTGNAAACAAAGTTGTTAAAAAGATTTACTCATTTGAACGTATTATAAAATTTGATTATATTTGTAAAAATCAATTGTTAATTCAGGAGAAAAAACAATCAATTTTTTTAGAAATGATTTGTATAGCAACATGTTACAAAAGATTTGTAATATTATAGTCCAGTAGTAGCACACACAAGTAGAGTAAAAAAATTATTAAATTACAAAGTAAAATAATTTAATTTTGTAGTTGAAACCTATTATATCAAACTTCATTCGTTAATAAATATTTTGAAAACATTAGAAATTAAGGATTTTAATTGTCCTTATGAAGAACATGTAATAACTAACTGTTTAATTGATAAATTAGAATTTTTGAGGGTAATATCTTCAACTAGATACGATTTGTGATCTTTTGACATATTTTTCATCAAAATCGGTTCAGTGAGAGCTGAGATTGAGCGTATACAGACACAAAAAAAAACACATCATAGTAAAATTAATACCTTCTCAGCTTCACATCGAAGCTAAAATAAATTGACCCTTCTTAAGCCTTATTTTTAAATTATTTTTTTAAATAAGTTTAACCTTATAGTTTAAGGTATAAGGGATAGATTTAAAAAGTAATTAATAACTGATAAATTAGACATATATAAAATTAAAATATACTAAAAATAATTTTCATAGCATAATAATTATTTTAAGAGAAATGGAGTGTCTAGCATTAATAAATCACTCTGTACATGTATAAGACAGAAACTTGATTTGATACAGCAAACTTTCAGCATATTATATAAGTATGATATTTTACTTTACGAAAACATTGTAATATTGTATTTACTACTTTTAGTATTTTTAACATATTTTCCCAGAATTATTTTTACTCATTTTACTTCATTTTAGCCTAAGAAAAAATATATAATAATAAGTAATAATTTATTATTATTGTCGTTATTTATTAATTGTAATTAAACAAATTTTAAACTGTTAATTTGTTTAGTATGAAACTGTAATATCTGTAACTTAAATCTTTTTCATTTCAATTTAACATTTGTTAATAGATTAATCATAAACCCCTAATTTTGAGCAGTTCCTTCTTCTCGCCATTGGTGTAGTATGTGGGTAATCAGAGGTTTTATCCTATTTAGTATACATATAGCCTGCTTTATAATAAGCAGTTATAGGTATCGGGGTAAACGACAGTATATTAAAGCTCCTTAATCATTAACCTCTTTTTATTAAATTATTGTATCATTTAAACTTCAACGAAGGCGTTTTCACTACTTAGCAAAGTATCATTACAATTTCTTTAATGATAAAGAAACAAAACAAATCTGCACAATAAGAACACAGTATAGTTGTAACAAGTGTAGATAATATTAGACAGTGATTAATGTCTCTACCATAAAAACTCATTTTACTTCATTTTAGCCTAAGATAATATAAATAAATGTTTTAAATATTTCATTGTATTTAATTAACACGCACGCTCCAAGTAATTTATTATAACATATTGACAACTTTAGTTCAAAAATATGTAATCATAGAAAAGAACAGATAAATGTTTTTTCTGATTTTATTATATCCTACCATTTGTTATAATAAAAAATAAAAAATTTACATATTTTTGCAAGCTAAATATTTAAAATTATATAGAAAAATAAAATCATGACTTTTCAAACTATATTTTGTAAAATCATTATATTAATAAACCTTAATGTCAATATACATACACTCAGTTTATAATTTAGTGTAGTTGAACATTGTACAGTTGGGAATATTTTTTGCGTAGTTGAAATTAAATTTTGGGCATTTGTAAATTAATAGAATTATAAATAACAGCAAGCTAACATCATAAAACGTCTTGTTCAAATTTTGAACACAAGAAAAATACAGTATAACTATTTATATATAGTTAAATCAGTGGTGTAGTCAAACTTTTTTTTTATGATTGTGGAGGGGAGGCGGTAAAAAAATATGTATTATTAGAATTCCCTATAGTATGACATGTTAAATCCTATTTTTATTTTTTTATTCAAGAGCTATCGTAGTTTTATATTTTTTAAAATACAAAAAAATTAGTGATCATTTATGTATATAATTAATAAACAACAAAAAATAATAATTTATGTTGAGTAGAATAACTATCTAAATACATTAAGGGGATTGTGGTGGCAAAATTAAATATATAGAGTGGTTCCTTAACTATGTTTCATGAAACAACATTTAGTTTATTAGAGCTAATCATTATTTTAGTTTTTTTACATTAATAGTCCTTTATTGAGCTGATTTACTCAAAAAAATCATTAAATCATCCCTTACACAAAAAAAAATAACGACAATAACATAACGAAATAAAAAATAAAAATAATTATCTTTAATGACGACGATGGAGGGTTGATGTAACTGGAAAGCGAATGTATTCGGTGGTAAGATAAAGAAATCCAGGGAAAATGTAATGTCGTGAACGGTACTTTAATAGGTACGAACACTTAATAATGGCAAAGACGATTTATTTTACTTAAATGCGTAGCATCAAGCGCGAACTGCAATGGCGATTAACAATAACGTATAAGTTTGAGGAAATTGCAAGGACGAGATGTCAGCTTTTTACAACAACTACATGCTCGCAAGCACCACAGAGCCATGTAGCAAAACGAGCTAAGATGGCGGGGACAACGCAGACACAGGAAAAAAAAACAGACCGTCAAGAATTCAGTGTCATATAATGATAGTGCAGGTAACAGTTTTATGTAATATCTGATGTAGCGCTGAAAGACGGTCAAGACGCCCGTCTCTTATCTGCTAGCATCCGGTGGAGACAAAGATAAGCATTTAAACAGATGTTTATCCGACAATAATGATAAAAAAATTAAAACAAAATTTATCACAACTTAAAAAATAAGTTCCAAATTGTTCACCGATTCAGTGGTTTTTAACTTTTAGTTTCGATGCGAAGCTGAGAAGGTATTGGTTTTACTATAATGTGTTTTTTTTTTTTGTGTCTGTTACCACTTTTTCTTAGCTCTCATCGAACGGATTTCTTTGAACGATACGTCAAAAGATCATAAATCGTATCTAATCGAAGACATTATCCTCAAAAATTAAAAAAATTTCCCTCGTTCCCCGTAAATGGAGGAAACCTCCAAAAAAATTACAAATTTAAAAAACGCTAATTTTCGAAATTTTTTTTATTTTAAACTACCATAACTTTTTTAAAAATAATCAAATCAAAATAATTTTTTTTTCTATGAATGCATGATGTTTTTAACTATCATTTGGTATATTTTTTTTATAAATCTGACTTTTTACCTGCCTACAGGGAAGGATTCAAAATGACAACTTTTTCACAAAAAAATTACTTTTTCAACATAACTTTTGAAAGTGTTCCGGGAAGTCTGACACTTTTATATATATCTTAAATTAAAGCCAATGTAATGTACATTATTATGGAAATAAACAATTTTGGACTTTATTTTATCTTTATGGTGAAAACAGACATCAAAGTTAATAAAAAAAATACGATTTTTAAATCAAAAATACGATAAATTTAAAAATATAAAAAAGAATTTTTTTACATTTTTAAATTTATAATGCTATAACTTATTTAAAATTGTATGGATCAATACAATTTTTTTATGAGAAATAATATTTGTATCATTCGATATACTTTATCTTAATCAGGATATAAATAAGGAAATAGGAAATAATGTAGCTGTTGGAATAATCCACCATTTTTTTAAAATTAAACACTATCTAAAGATTTGCATCGAAGCGTTTTTTATGATAGTGATTTTAATCACTGTCAGGTATCATTATACTTGACCCAACTATGTCAGGTCACCACTGTGCCGCGACCCCCCTGTGCTGGGTTTTTTAATACATAGATCAGAAAATAATAATAACAGAGATAATTAGGGGACCTGAAACCCCACAAATTGTGAACCATATGAGTCTATGTACAAGAGGCGTGTTAACCATAAGCCACCGGACGCAGATATGGTCTACCCCAGACCTTACCCCAATTTATATCTTAAATTTCACCCTGACATTTTAGATAAAAATGACCTTTCTTTTGTATAATATGTTCATATATGTAATTTTAAACATTACGAGGTGTGACAATAAAATAACGAGACTTTCTAAATATAACCTAAACTATTATCGTTATCTATAAAACAATTATTGAAATATGATTAGGAAACACTTATCTAAAAGTACTATAAACACTGATGAAATTGGTTAATTTTTTTATACGTTAATAACCTTGTTATTAATGCGAATTTGACTATACTGCCGAAAAATGTTAGATATCAAAATCAAACAACGTGTTAACATTAAATTTCTTGTTAAATTAAAAAAAACTGTCGCGGAATCATTTCGTATATTATGTGAAGTTTATGGTGAAGAATGTTTATCAAGAGCTTGCGTTTTTGAATGGCACAAAAGGTTTTGCAATGGAATAGAGGACGTGGAAGACGATGATCGTTCTGGACGTCCTACCACATGTTCAACAAACGAAAACGTTGAAAAAATCGACAAAATTATTCGGCAAGATCGTCGATTAAGTGTTAGAGCTGTAGCAGAGATAGTAAATATTGATAGAGAAAGTGTTAGTAAAATTTTAGTTAAAAATTTAAATATGAAAAAAGTGTGTGCTAAAATGATCCCTAAAAATTTGACGATTGATCGAAAATTCAATCGCAAAAAAATTTGTTCTGACACCTTAAAAATCATCAAAGATGATCCATCTTTTATAAATAATATTATTACGTGTAATGAAACGTGGAGTTTTACATATGATCCTGAAACTAAAAGGCAATTCATGCATTGGAAGACACCAACTTCCCCAAGAATGAAGAAAACACGAATGAGCAAGTCGAAATTCAAAGCAATGCTCATTGTTTTCTTTGACATTGAGGGAATAATTTTTGTTGAATGAGTTCCTCGTGGGCAAACTTTCAACCAATATTATTATAAAGAGGTATTAATTAAATTAAGAGAACGTGTTACAAAAAAGCGACCAGATCTGTGGAAGAATGGCTGGGTTCTTCACTAAGACAATGCTCCAGCTCACAGTGCACTTTCAATTCAAAGTTTTTTAACTGAAAAAAATCTTTCTATACTTCAACATCCTCCGTACTCGCCAGACCTTGCTCCTTGTGACTTCATCTTATTCCCAAAAATTAAAAGTTTATTAAAAGGAACCCATTTTCAAACGGTTGATGACGTAAAAATAAAAACGGCAGAACTTCTAAAAGGATTAACTGAAAGCAATTGGCAACATTGTTTTCAAGAATGGCAGCGACGTATGCAACAGTGTGTTGATGCTGAGGAAAGGTACTTTGAAGGTGACAATCATTAAATTGTAAAATTTTTAAAATAAATAACTTTTATTAAAAAAGTTTCGTTATTTTATTGTCACACCTCGTATTTTCATCTAGTCCGGTTTATCATCACCCGTTCAACAGGTGTAAGCCGGCTGTATCTTTTGCTGGGTGACCAATTGTTATCTGGCTAGCGGATGGGTGTGTATGATTAATGTGTTAATGTTGTGTTTTTGGTTTTACGTTCTCTGGTCGGCGTTCGTATCAAGTGGATTGTGTTTTTGCATTGGGCAGCACAAGGAGGCGTAAAGTGAATTGTATTGGACAATCACCATTAAATGAACAATGAGTTCATAACATAATACGGAATAAAGGAATAATATAGTCAGAAGAAATATAGGAGTACATTAGAGATTGGCAAGTTAAAACGTTCGGTGGTCAATTACACTAAGTATTTTTTGTCTCATGTTGTTTTATGTAATAAACATTGTAAATGTATATAAATTGAAGGACGCTTGAAACTAGTTATAAAATTAAAGAGTCAGGTTTGGCTTCGTATAGATAATGTAAGTAACCACCGTCGTCAACTGCGGGAAAGAGCGTAGCGATTAAACTGACAAATAATTGAGATATTGAATTAACACACAATATTTTATTCTCAAAAAAACTACACAAATTTGACAATATAATTTAGATAATATCTTATATAATTAATTAATTATTTTAGCTTCGATATTGGTTTTGTCATAGTGTATTTTTATACTTTTTTATATCATAAGGATATTTAGATCCAAAATATCCAAGATTTTTTTGTCTGAACATTCCATATCTTAATCCTAAATCGAAATAAAAAACCTCCATACCATTTTCAATTATTTTTTTAATATTTTCTTGGTAAGGATTTATAAAGTCCTCATCTCTAATTTGCATATTTTCAACACCACATAAAGAGTTAATAAAATTAATGATAGTTGATTGTTTTCCATATTCGCCATTTTCAACGTGTTTATCCTTAAATTCTTGAAGACCAACAAATGTTACGACCTTGATTATTTTATTGAACTTGCTTTCAATCGAACCATTAGTATACCAATCTTTTACTAACATTTTTTCAATCAATTCTAACAGTTTTATAAGATTACTAAGTACAACAGTGCTAAAATTAAAAAACTAAAGGCCATTTATCATATGGGCTATCAATGGTTTCAATATAGTTATACTGTCTCCTAATGTTTGTAAGTCATTCAAATTATTGTTAGTGGAAATTTTCTTATAGTGATTTAAATATTTTTTGTAGAGTTGTTCAATAAGACAGACATAAAGTGAATTTAAGATGATACCACCAATATAGTATTTCGTATTATTATTTTGTAGCCCTAAAGCATATACAGGGATAGGTTTGTTAAGTACATTACGATCTTCAAAAAATGAAAATTTGTCGAATGTTGGCCATGAATTTAAAACTAAAATAAACTCATGTTTAGGTGCCTTATCGTTACAACTTATATCAGAAATGAGGTATAATTTAATAAATATTAAGAAAATTAAAATGCAATACATACTTTTTGATTTAATGAAATTAAAATTTGTTAAATGTGTATAACTTTTCAAAGATTTTAATAAAGTGTATCTAGAATTAAACTTTTTTATGTATTATAGGCAGTAGCATATAATTATTTTTAGATCTAATATTAAATTATAAACATTTTATTTTAACAAGTATAATATATAATTTTTTGTCAATAAAAAGAAATATTTTAGAACTATTTAAAGTATTGTTACATACAGCTGAATAAGTTTTATATTTCTTAGGATAATAAATTATATACTTGTTTTTCTCATGAAATTAAAATTTGAAAATTTTAATTAACCATTTGATAATTATTGTTTTGGAATACAAATTTTAGTACATGATTGAATAAATCGGAAATAAATGTATTAATAAGTCATGACCTTACAAAATTGATCAGATATTAATTATGACATTAGAATAAAAAGGTTTCATCTCACGTTTTTCCAAAAATGTTATTTTCGGATATAGTTATCTATTATCCGATACTTTATAATTTCTTGTACAAAATGAAGTAATTTGAATAATTATCTAATAAATTACATAAAACTTAAAATTTGGCACTTTGTATAAAATAAAGACAAGTTATTTTAGCCATTGTAAAAATAAAATTTTATTTAAAAAATATATTTATGAACCGAAATATTTTAATTATACGCATGGTTATAGCTGCACTAAAATAATACAATAAAATATTACAAAAACCAAAATTTGGAGTTGAATTTTTTTTCGATTAACTTTTAACTAAAAAAACGGTAGCACAGTGAGGTCGAGGCACAGTGTGGATGAGACATAGATGGGACAAATATAGATGATATCTGATGTATAGATGAAATCACTGTCGTAAGAAACGCTTCGATGCAAATCTGTAGATAGTGTTTCATTTAGAGAAATTGGTGGATTATTCCAAAAGCAACATTAACTCTTATTTCTATGATTATATCCTGATTAGTAGGTCTTTGATTTTAAAATATAATATATGAATAAATACTAATTATATTATTAAATTTAGTATACAATTGATATTCAGTAATTTAATATTGTAATTTATACGGAGAAATTATAAAAATAATGAAAAAGTTATATTTTGCTTTACTTTTACGCGTATAAAAATTTAAAAGCCTTGATACAATATTTGTCAATAAAAATTGTTTGTTACTATAAATAAATGCACTGGACTACAAGGAACTTTCATCAGAAACAAAAATTAAATTTTCTAAACAACTTCTCGCGTTGTTTTCAAATCTGCAATTAGACTTTTTCTATCACTTCTAATTTTTTATATTATTACTAATTATATATAAAATAAAAATTAAAAGAAAAAAAAATTTGTTTTCAAATTATTACTGATTTGATTTTTAATATGTTAAAAATAATCAGTCCAAATTTTCAATTTTAACCTATTTTTTTGGTTTTTTAAAGTTGATGAAAAATTTTTGACAAGTTTCGTGAAAGTTTATAGTAAAAAAAATTAAATATGTTGCCGTACTTTTAGTTCAATTGCAAGTTTGAAATTGACATAATTAAATAGAAAATTTTATGAGAATTAAAAAAATTGTATTGTTAAGATTAATATGACGTCAGGAAATTTTATAATTACTATTTATAGAATATTTATCAGAAAAACTCATTATTTTTTTTGCATTTTTATCGAAATAGAACACTTAAATAGAAATAATAGTAATCATTTCATAGTAACTTTTGGTGTTTAAGAAGATACTACAATTGAAATATGAACTGAATTAATTTTAATAATTTACTTTAATTAAAATAACCAATAAATAGATACGAATTGTAGTCATTTGACTTATTGTTGAAAAAAGTAGGTCAAGTTAGAGACGAGAAAATAAATGATAGTCACAAAAAATATCTTCTCAGCTATACATCGAAGCGAAAACTTAAAATATAGTAAAATAATTTTAATACGAATGAGACATTTCTTCTTGCAAGGGGCGACTAAAGTGATGGGATCCTTGATCTTTATTGAATCTAAAATCAAAGCAGTTGAAAATTTATTCTAACTAACCCAACCGAACCAATCAATACAATTTTTTCATGAGAAGTAGTATTTATATACATCTTTCATTCGACTTACTATATCTTAATCAGGATATTAACAAGGAACTAACAGATCATGTAACTTTTGGAATAATCCGCCAATTTTTTAAAATTAAACATTATTTAAAGATTTGCATCGAAGTGTTTTAGCTTCGATGCGAAGCTGAGAAGGTATTAATTTTACCATGACGTGTTTTTTTTTTTTATGTCTGTTGCCACTTTTTCTCAGCTCTCACTGGACCAATTTCTTTCAACAATACGTCAAAAGATCACAAATTGTATCTAGTTGAAGACATTACCCATAAAAATTGAAAATTTTTCCCTCGTTCCCCGCAAATGGGGGAAATATCCAAAAAAATTACAAATTTAAAAATTGGTAAATTTTGTCATTCTATTCACTTTTTTTTCTTAAAACTTCTATAACTTTTTCAAAAATAAACAAATCAACATAACTTTTTTTTATACTAAAACCTTAGATATTTCCCTTTCATTTGATATCATTTTTTTTTGAAAATTTAACACTTAACCTGCTCACTGGAGGGGATTTAAAATAGCAACTTTTTTACAATAACTAAATTTTTCAACTTAACTTTTGAAAATGTTCCGGAAATACTGCGTCCTTTAAACATATATCAAATTAAAGCTTATGTCATGTACTATAAAATTAAAAAAAAAAAATTTGTCCCGAAGACCTATCTTCTATGCGCAAATGACTACCGTATTCAAAAATATGCTATTTTTGTGTTAAAATCCTGGGTTTTGTATTTTATTTTATTTTAAAATATCTTCTAAAGGCAATACACTGACTTTCGTGAATATTTTATAATTTAATTGAAATAGAATAAAGTGCATAACACATAAGAAATTAAACTTATTAGAATTTTTTTACTTTTTTAAAGTCCAAAAAGTAATTTTTAAATTTGAGTTAGCTTAAATAGCCAATTTTATCATGTAGCGAAAGCAACGAACAATTGTCAAGTCGGTAATACTTGTATCTATCATGCTTACGGTATGAGATTCAAATCAGTCTGCGGCAACTAATACTTTGCATTTTTTTTGAGTTAGAATAAAATTTTCAATCATTTGATATTTATCTCATTTAGATTCAAAAACTTCAATAAATATAAAGGATCCTATCACTATAGTCTCCCTTCGTGAGAAGAAATTTCTTATTCATGTTAATATTATTTTACAATGTGGTTTTTTTTGTGGCTACGATTTATTTTACCAACCCTCACTAGACCTACTTTTTTGAACGATACGTCAAATGATTACAATTCGTATTTAGTTTAAGTTATTACTCTTAAAATCAAAAAAATATTCCTAATTCAAATAAAAAGTAGCTTAACCAGCTTTTTCCATACAAATCATTAATTTGTAATATTCTTAAAGTATTTATTGTCGAATTAGATTTGATATGATAAAAATATTCAACTACAAAAGTAAATAATTTTACTTTGTAATTTATTCATTTTTTAACTCTATTTGTGTGTGCTACTATCAGTTTATAATATTCCAAATTTTTTTGTAACATGTTGCTATATAAATCATAAATTTAAAAAAAAAATGATTTTTAGTTTCACTTGAATTTAACAATGGATTTTTACAATTATAATCAAATTTTATAATACGCTCAATTAAGTAAATTTTTTTAGCAACTTTTTTTTTTATTGGTTTTTTTAGATATATAATCATTAAAATTAATTAAATTCTGAATATTTCCATTGTAGAATCTTTTTAAACACTATAAGTTAGTTAGAAATTATTAATATGATTTTTANGTTTTTTTTAGATATATTTTTTAAACGCCATAAGTTAGTTAGAAATGATAAATATGATTTTTATTTGAGTGATCTATTACGATAAAAATGTAAAAAAATCTAACTTTTCTGATAAGTATTATGTAAATAGTAATTATAAAATTCCCTGATTGCATATTAACCTTAACACTTTCTTTTTTTCTATTTAATTATGTCAATTTCAAACTTACAAGTTGAGCTAAATGTTATGGTAATAAATTCATGTTTTTTTAGCTTCGATGCGAAGCTGAGAAGGTATTAATTTTACTATGATGTGTTTTTTTTTNATATATTTATGTTTTAACAAGTTTTGTTTTACGTTATTAATATGTTAATTATGCATTTTTCTTATTACATATATAGTATACACTCCATGTCTGCAACTTGGATGTGGAAAGTAATTTTGCACTTGACGCGTCGTTGTTATAATTAGTTTTATGCCACGATATGCAACATAGAATTCTTACCTATGCGCTATGGTAAAAATACCTAAAATTCTTATATCTCAAAAAATAATAATACAGAACTGGTTATTGACCTGTATAAATTTTAATTAAACCATTACCCATTTATTAGTGAAATAATAATAATAGGTCTTATTTAACTTTTGAAAATTATCCATAAATTCTACCGTTATGAATGATTTTTTCTTACAAATTAATAAAAATTTACAATGGTTTACAAAAATGAATTGAATTTAAATTTATACGTTTTTATGAAAAAATCGCCATTTTAAGAAAAAAAGGAAGTAGTTTACTTATTAAATCACACTGTATAAAATGACCTAATTAATAAATGAAACAATGTTTGTATATTTAATAACATAAATGCATTTTTGAAAAATCAACAAATTGTATTTATGCCAATATTTTGTTTATAATTAAATAAATATTTAACATGTTAGCTCGGTATGATGCTCAGAAAGAGTTGGTTTTACTAAGAATTGTCACTTTTTTTTTTCTGTTCATAAAAATGTTTAACTCCACTTGAACAATAGTAATCAATACGTCACAGGAACTTAAATTATATCTAGTTCAAGTAATTGCCATTATAAGTCATAAAAATTAACCCAATTACCTTTATTAAGGAGAATTTTTTAAAAAAAATAGTATTATTAATAACCACGGATTTCTTTTTTCGTAAGTCACTATAATTTTTTTGAAAAATATTCGATTTTTAAGTTTATTATAAATTAAAATTTCAAGCATTAATTTGTTTGATAACAAAGTACAATTTTGTGCGATATATTAAAAATACTACCACACAAATTTTCTTTTTATTCAATTATTTTTTCATAAAAATGTACAAATAAAATCTTTTTTTTATATGTACTATAAAAATTATTAAATTAATTAATTGATATTGATATTATACATTTTAGATGTATCTTTCAAAATTTAATTAGGATCCTATTATTTTTTATTACTCCACTATACTGTTATAAATTTGGTTATGGNTTCAAAATTTAATTAGGATCCTATTATTTTTTATTACTCCACTATACTGTTATAAATTTGGTTATGGTCGAAAATTAAAAAAATTCTGACTGGTTGACGGTCATTGCTGTAATACTACTTTTTGATCAAATTTAGAAAAGGTGGTAAGTGGGGTAGTGTTTGGCGTTGCTTTATTTTTATCAAAACGCACATATATAAAATTCTTCTTCATTGTATATATTCAAGCCAAGTTTACTATATACAACGTCGATCACTGGAATAGAAATTTTTTATTGGAAACTAACATAAAA